AAAAACAAAATTCCCAAAATGAAATTTTATAGTTTTTTTAAAAAGCTGGATATGTTGTATAGTCCTGGAACTGTAGTTGGCAGACCCAACTTTGAAAGCCGCCCACAGGATTACTATAAAAGTATGAATTTCTGTCAAATGTTGTTTATTATCCTTCTATTTATGATAAACACCTGCACAGGAGCGTGCGGAAGATGAGTCAAGCGAAAGCAAGATCCGTATTTGTCTACAAGAATTTACCATTTTAAACATGTTTTAAGTTTATTGTTCTGAAAAGACGATTATGTATATTAAGAAAAAAGGCAAAATATAAGCCCCGCCCACCCACCCTATCTCAATTGCAGTTAAGCTCCGGCCCCGTTGGTTCACGGCGAACAACAAAAATCATCACAATTGAGACAAGGCGCGTGGGCGGGCTTACATTTTGCCTCTTTGTTTTATATGTGTGGATTTCTTTTCACAACATGAAACTTAAAACATGTTTAAAATGGAAAATTTGTATAAGGAAATATCGATTTTGCAATTGGGCTCCGTCCCATAATGGCAAAATCGATATTTCCTTGCAAAAATGTACCATGTTCTAAGTTTCTTGTTGGGAAAAGATGATTATGTATATTGACAAAAAAAAGGCAACATATAAGCTCCGCCCACCCGCCCTATCTCAATTCTGATGATTTTTTTATTCGTCGTAAGCCGAAGGGCGGACCTTAATTCTAAAATCTTTATTTTTTTACGAAAAGTTACCATATGAAATATATTTTTAAGTAATCGTGTTATACGAAGAAAACTAAATGTATTAATTCAAAAAGAAAACCAAAAGAGAATCCCCAGCCATCCGTCTCGATCTCAATCGTGATGAATTTTTCGTTCATTGTCAGACCGAGGGGTGGAGCGTAATTGCAAAATCCTTATTTCTCTACAAGAAATAAAAACATGTTTTTGAGTATCGTGTTGTTCAAAGAATACTAAGTATATTAAGAAAAAAACAATCCTAAAATTAAGCCCCACCCATATCCATCTCAAGCTTAATTGTGATGAATTTTTCATTCGCTGTCAGACCGAGACCAATTTTTTAATTTTTTGATGAAGAAAGTTTTTGGTTTAATTTGTAAAATTAAACAGGCCACAGGTAGAAAAGCATGGCACACTGCATATCTCAAACAACATTTTGAGAATTGTTTTTTTTGAAGAAACAAATTTTGGTTAGCGTTTTACTGCCGACAAGACAACGTTATAGCATATCTGAAATTTCAAAGTATTCAAACCGGTAACTTCGAGGATTATTAACTATCTGTCCAATGAAATCATAACGAAAAAATTGGTGGAAGGTTATTTCGACAAAATTTTCCTCGCCCCTAAAGTGCATACCCGAAAAAATATGAAATTACTTCAGTGGTAGTACTTCCTTTAGCTTACGCTAGAATGCAAATCTTTGAAAACAACAACAATTAAAAAGATTCATTTGTCGTATTTGATGTTGATAATAAAATCTGCAGGAAATATTAAATACCTCTTAATCAGTCATTTTCAATACCAAAAATAAAACTATCGTACTTCATCACCAACCCGTTATCAAATAAACACATAAAAATAATAAATTTCTATTGGTTATCAAAGCTGCCATGTGTCATAAATTAATATTTTATAGTCCGTTATTGCCGTTTTGATTTATTGCATAAATATTGTATGAAATAATTCATAAAACTCTTACTTTAAATACATTTTTAAGCAATAAATAAATAAAATACTTACACATACGGTTTTTAAGCATATTTACCTTTTTACTTAAAAGATCTCTACATTTGCGAAAACTAAACTGTGAAAATAACGCTTTTAGACGTCAAGTAAAAGAGCTGGGATGAGGTTACATACTTCTAGCGATTTCAGCCATTTCCTGAAAGGAAATGACTCTCGAAGAAACTATTTAGGCTTTACGTTGATTTACAGACCTGCTAATGCACGCTAAAATGAAAACCCCGCTTTGGAAACACAAGTTTCAGATTTCTCTGTTAAGGCTAGATTTAAATAAGCTGCAAACGCGTTATCAAGATTACACATATGTTAAATTAAAGTCTTGTAAGGTGTTCTCGTACAGAATGACGTGTTTTTTCAGCATTTATTTATTACATTTGATATTCTTCCCATGCATTTGGGACAATTTATGACAGTTAAACTATCAATTAGGAATATTTGTGTATTAGCAACATAATGTTAATAATATAAATGAGTAGGTAACGAATCATTAAAATGTGGTCAGAATTTAATGTCCCAAAGTTTGAAATTTCGAGTTTAGTTAAAATTTCCAAAAATTCAGACGTTGAACCTGTGACAAAAGTTTCAATCCCGCTTATCTACAGTAGGTTGAAACACCAGTCCTGTTACATATAACTGTTTACACCTCTAATCATAAATCCCAACATCCATATTTACCAAAGACACCACACTGTTTACACACTCATTGATATAATTTACAAGTCAGGTAGTCATTCTATCCTATCATCACTCAACAATCCAAACTATTGTGAATTAGCGGAAGACACATTACATCACGTTACAACAATACGTTTATTCTACATTACATAACACTACAATAAAAGAAAACGTCCCACTCTTTCACAACCAGATTCTTCAAAACCTTCCGTTCCTATTATCTCGATGTTGAAATTGGCAAACGTTATTACTTATCCGATAACAAACATAAACATTTAGATCTTGTTTAACGAGTGATAGTTAAATTGACATGCCATGTATATAGATACCAGACGCATTAAAATTCGCATCAGGTTGCGGTTTTTTCCGCACCCTTTGAATCCAAAATAATTTTTCAGTCAATAACCCATTCTTAGGACCGTGCCAACAGCAACACCGTGCGTCACAATGTTTAAATAATGACTTGAACTTCGCACTCTTATCAGATTCGCTGCAAATAGGAGCGTATTCCCGGAAGCACCGCTTTGTTGAATTATTTAAGAAGATATGTACTGTGTAGATGGCGCCAGCGTCGATCAATCACGAACCCATAGAACCTACTTAAGTATTAAACGCGCTTCCGTTGATTGCATTCGTAAGTTGGCAGAGTTATACGAAATAACACGGAATATTTTTTATTTAAATCAATTTGACGTGAATGGGCATAAATAACCAGGGTTGCCAACATGAATCTCAAATAAAAAGAGTAGCGACGTACCATTCCAGGAGAATTCCATTGGAGATGAGAAACACGAACTTGACGATGTAGACCAGATAGTAAAGTTCTTATGGCTTTTAAAAAATTTGTCCGGCAAAGACATAAATCATTGTTGGGAAAATCTCTGATTAAAGAAGCATTTGAGAAGAATCCTTGACAATGTTCTCGAATATTCTTGAAATTAAAATTTGATATCTCCCTCAATATAATAGATGTAATATAGTGCTGACATCGTTCGAATAAAATAAAATTCAATGTAAGAAACATCCTCTGTAATAACCAACCAACCCCACTCTCCCCTATACCTATGTCAGTCTTACTGAAACATTTATAAGTATTAAGTTTCTTTCCTTATTTCCCGAGTGTAAACAAAGATAATTTTATGTTTACTTCACGTGCTACGGCTCGGACAGTACGAAAGTATTGATCTCCCGTTTCCGTCTGTCTATCTGATGTTTGTCTATTACGTTTAGTTTCGAAAGTTTGGGTGCACACGTAATTGGTTAAAGGCTAACAAAAATTAGTGTTTTTTTTTCGTCGCCACCAGTTTGATGACGCTATCTTATTATTTTACTAGGTAAACCGTGGTTTATTAATTCGTGCTTATTTTTACCTTGGATTCAGATTTTTGGGAAAAAATTGAAATTCTAAAAGAAAATTGGGAATCTTGTACAATACAAATCACGACTGCTCTGAAATTTTACAAACGCTTTAAGATTGTCGTAAACATAATAAATTACTAATCAAAATTTTTTATTTATCATCTCCAATAAATGTGCAAAATATGCATCTGCACTGTTGGTTTATAAGTACGTCCCTGTTTTTCATCCTGCATGTGTAGATTTAGGGAAAATAATTCAAAATTGTACTACGAAATATAATTTATCTTAGAAACTACTTATAAAAAAAATATGGTGGAAGGTTATTTCGACAGAACTTCCCTCGCCCCTGAAATACAACAAAACAAATCCAGATTTTTCAAAAATTATAAAATTTGATTATGCGAGTTTTATTTTTTTTAAATAATGTATGTCGCTCTTGCCAAAAATGGCATAGTATGACTCACTTTTATACAAACCTCCACCTTTGAGCTCCGTTATGTCCACATTTTGTTTTTTGGATACTTTGTCGTTATTTAATCTGCAATACGTACTTTTGACATTATTTCCCAAAACGTAAAATTTTCTCCGGTATGGAAATGCATGTAATAGTTTCCATTGTAACACAAATTAAAAGAAACACAGACGTATGTTATTTCAACTAAATTTATAACGTTGCAGTTCCTAACTTTTATTACCAGACAACACAAAGTCGAATTATATCTATATAATTTGAATGTTAAAAATAGACGTTTGATTGAAGTATGAAGGCCGTGAAAGCTATTCCATCTACAAAACAACGTCTGAAATGAGATAGGATTTGCCTGTTTTGGTTATCCTTTTTTCTTCTCCAAAATTTGTTTTACTGCACATGTAGTTCTCCAAAATACGATAAACTGAAAATACACCACTGATTCTTTATCAGCGATAAGACTGACCTTTCTCTCTAAAATGTAAAAATTGAGTCAACTTATTTTTATCGTGTTTTAAACAACTGGGATTCTAAACTTTCCGCTGCAACAACTGTCTTTATGTAACCTCGCAAACATTTTGTCGTTTCACTGCTCCGAAGACAATGCAATGCGCTATCAACAGATGTGCTTTTTTAATCTCGGCAAGGCTAAGGCTTGCGAAAACGAGTCCTCTATTTGACATGTCCTTAGCCTTTACCCTGTCCGTGTACTAGTCCTAAAATTAGATTTTTTTGTTGACAGATGAACATAGCGACAGTGAAGAATCCAATACGACCACATCGGGTCACCGCGTGCCCAACGGATACCCGCCAAAGTCCTATTACTCGCGTTTCACGTATTCTAGTCAATCGACGCCCACAAGAAGATACCAGTGCGATGGTACGAAATCGACGAGGTCCAGCAGCACTGCCAGTGAAAACAAGATTACTTTCAACGAAGGTGAGAAGTTTTTGAAAGAAAAAGGTAAAGAATTAAAAGATCCAAGACCCATAGTCCATAAGAATATGCTACCCGTTGTGCTCGAATGAATTCTTGTCTCGAAGTCACGTGAGCGTGTGACTCGGAGATGGTGTTTCACTTGGTACTTGAACGCAGATTGGCAATAATGTTTGGAATAGGTCGTTACTGCAATCTACGATGCCGTTGTAAATTCGTTTTATGTATATTTTACGACACATTGTGGTTTAAATTGTATACTTTGTTTCACTAGAAATATTTCAAGGCAGCTTACAAATTTAATTCGAATATAGAACACATTATACTGATACGACGATAAGCAGTAGTGAGTCAGCAAACAAACACCAAGGTACATACCTACATTGTTTTAATGTGTGCACTTTTTGTAGATTATGATAAGAAATCTCCATTTCTGGGATAAAATAGTGTACGTTAACATAAATCATGTTTGTTGATTTTTTTAATGTACTCCAAAAAATTTTTTGGAAGTACACAATTAGACGACATTTTCGTCACTTAGGTAATAATAGGAGGAAACAAATTGTGTCTGAGTTTGAACGATGAGTCGTTTTATTTTTTGATTTGTCGAATCTATGAAATAACGAGGAACTAAATTTATTAAAAAAATCAAATTATTAGGAGAAAGAAAAAGTAATTAGGCGAATTACAACGAAAAGTATCGATACACTAAAAATCATTTTAAAATATTGTCAATCGCACATTAGACATGCACACAGGACTGATTTTACAAAATGCTAGAAAAAGATGTGCCGATTTATCTTAGCTCCAAACTCAAATAGTAACATTTTGCAAAGGCGTATTTTTCATTAAAGATTTTTTTAATCAATTTTGAGACGACGTCATCATTTCCAAAGGGAAGAGTAAATCAATTGTACAGAGATTTTGTGATATCTAAAAGTAAAATCGTGCGACATTTGGCTACTGTTCAGAAAGTAACATCAAAGCAAGTCATTGAAAAACAATAATTTTGTTTTGATGTATGATGCAAAATAATAATTTCCACGCTGTTAATTTAAAAAAGCAGGTTTGTCTTTATAGCAACAACCAAATCACTATCAAGTAGTCTGCCATCATTTATCATTTGCTTCATTATAAAAACATATAAAACTTGTTTTACTTAACATGTCAATTTGACATGACGTAAGGTCGTAAATCATTTGCTCAAAAGTTCCTAATTATGACACTTATTTTGTTTTTGTACTATTAATTAGCAACTTTTAATCTAAATATATCGTCTCTTTTTACTTCCCAGGCGTAAACTAAGAAAGCATTGTAATAGGGTCAAACTGGCGAACGGTTACTTTCGTGTACCAAACCGATTGTTATTAAATTATTATTATTTGAATATATTTTTTGTAATTTTATACGTATCTTAAGAATATCATGCAGATGGTAAAACTAACCAAAATTTGTTTTATCATCCACCAACAACGTTATGACGTCGGCTCAAAATTTTACATGATAAATGCTATTTAAATTTTATAAAATAGGGTACTTGTATACTTGTGGTTTATCTAGATTTTGTGGAAAACAAAAATTAAAATCTCAAATTTTCGTGTACATTTGGGGTTTATCTAGCAAAGTTTTGAAATGATGTCATCAAATTATTGATGAACAAACAAATTTTTCGGAGCGTTGAAACTCCTACGTGATAGTTTAAAAAGTGCACGCAAAATTCCACAACAATTCGTCCAGTAGTTTCACATATTTCGTCCCAAATAAAATCGTAGTTTGTCAAATGGACCACATCAGCTTATGCTTGCGAATTAAAAATACTCAAAACATCTGGGTCGGTTATACCCTAGAGACGAAGGAGTCTTCTTTAAAAACTTGAACTTTTTTTTTATTTGTAATAAAAACAAGATTTCCTTTTAAGAAAAGTTCCGTGACGTTATAACTTTTGATTTGAGCATGGTTTTTATAATATAACCAGAATAAAAATGCGTTCGACTTCGCCTAGTTATTTATCCAATTTTTACTTTCCGAGCGTAGCTAAGGAAGTATTGTAATTAAGTCCATCGGGCGACTGGCTGCTATTATGTTTTCGCGACGTTTCATGACCCCTAAAGTACGAGAAATAAGTTTCCCGTTTCTCTATCTATTTTAACTAGGCAAATAATCTCCGAAACTAAAAGACTGATTGATGTAAAATTTTAGATGTATGTCAGGAATATTACGTTAATGGTAAAACACTAACCAAAAGTCGGCTAATCATCCGGAACAACAACGGGATGACGGGATCACCAAAATTTACGATAGTAAATCTTATTTAAACTTTATATAAGATACTCCTGCACTTGTGGTTTATGAATCCGTGTTGAGTTTTTACTTTAGACGCCAAAATTTAAAAAAACATATAATTTTATAGCACAATTTTGCAGTTTAACTTTGAAACAGCAAAACCACACATTTTTCGAACACACCGTATAATATGATTATTTACCTTCGCGTTAATAATACTAGAGGGTAATACTCCTATTTTAGACGCATGCATTATATTTGTCTGAACACATAGACAATCGTCAGTTTTTAAAATTTCATTTGAATCATTAGAATTTTGAAGTCCTTTGTTTTCTGAATGGTTGGACTTTTTCTTCATTGGCAATCATCTTAAGAGACATTACTTTAAATAAAACTGCTTGCCAGAGAAACTTACTGGGCAAAGTTCGGAATTAACAGCTTTACAAAGAGTAAACTAAGTTAGATTGAGCCCCCCACTCCATGCTATTAACGACGGCAATGTAGTCCTCTGATCATGACTCTGCAAATTATTAAAAACAAGAAACACTGATGTCTACGAGTATTCTGATAAAAACGTTCTGTATTTGTGCTCTTAAAATTAGGTCAGATATATTATTTTAATTACATTATTAAATATTAGATGGAATTATACAATCAACATTTAATTTATTTAAATTCTGACTATTAGTTTTACGATATTTTTAACATTTTTTGTACTTTGTTATTATTAATGAATGCAAATAAGTTTTACCAAGTTGGCAGTTAGCAACAAGTCCGATATATGCAAAAAAATGCCGTTCCTACGCCACATTATTCCATTAAACACCTGTTTTAACAAATAGCTGTAATGTTTTCGTGTGGAATAATTCAACATCACTTCCCGATCCGGCTCACCAGACCAGTTTCTGTTTACTTCAACCAAACGTCGATAACCGATTAAAAATTTGCACATTTCCAATTTTTGCCGCATTTTGAACCCACTCAAATCAAATCGGAATTTTCCCAACAACAACAACAAATTCAATCAATCACTCCCTGTACAATCTATTTATAGCCCTTCAACAGCGAAAGATCAAAGGTGCACACACCACCAAACTGCATGAGATAAACAAGAACAAAAAGTGTACGGAAAAAACGGAAACTTTTAATAAAAGCCGTCATAACACGACACCCATTAAAATTTATTACACAATAACAAGATAACGAAACTTTCCGCCGTCATTGCGTGCTCTTTCTTTTTAAGCTCGCTGTGGGAAAGTGTGTCGAATTGTCGAAATTTAAACACCCTGTGTAAATGTTTGCCGGTGGGTTTCTAGGGTTGGCAAATGTTTGTTCGGGCTGTGTCAAAATCGATTTCGGTTTGGCGCTTGGTCGAATTGTGCCAAAAAATTGGCATTGCGATGAAGCCTTGATGTCTGCGATGGTGTAAGTTTTGCTTGGGTGGTGACAGTTGGATGTTGCGTGTCGTAATTTTGGGTAATTGGAAGAATTGGCTTTTGGCGCTCGGATGGTAATTAACTTTAATTCGTTCTTTGATATTTGTTGGAAGAGAAGCGCGAGTTGTAGTTTGAATTAAAAGATAATAGATTTTACTGAGGAAATTTATAGTTGATTATATTTATATGTGTTGCAAACAGGTGGAACATTTGTTTACTATACAATACAAAATTAGTGTCAATTAGTTTAAGTCGATGTAATTTATGCCAAGTTACATTAAAATTTTGTGTGATTCAATTATGTTGAGGTGTTGCGTGTTGAATGAAATTACTATTTATGTAACAATGAAACTTTTTTGTGTTTTAACGAGCTTCCGTTCATTGCAAATTCTTCTTTTGAGTTTTTCACTTCAAAGTTTACCAATTTTCCACTAATTGACAAAGTTTTAACATACTGAAATATGTAATTGTGAACATAGGAACGTTACAATATTTCAGTTGCGGCGTAAAGGAGGGGCGGTGGGGGCAGTCCGCACCAAGGGGTGATAACGACAACTCACTCGCACAGCCAGAGAATACTTATAGAAGAATCACTTTGCAAAAACATATAAAAAAAAAATCGGGACGGCAGACAGACGGACAGACAGACAGATGTTGTTTGTAAAATAATTATGTAATGGGGGTTCTGGCTCAATGGCTGGCTTACGGGAAATTAACATAAACATTTCAGTACAATTTGGGGGTGAGTTTTCTGGTGGACTGCAGCCATCAGAACGTTGTTTTCCGATTAGTAGTTACGTAGTGCCGGTTCTAGACTATTTTTTGACCTCAGGTGGCCCGGTGATTTGAAGGTCAATGTGCGCCGCCTGCCCTGAGATTAAAGTGGCCTAGAACCGGCTCTAAGTAACTACTACGCGGAAAACTCACCCCCTAAAACGTCCTGATGGACTAAACTATGGCCGCAGTTCACCAGATAACTCAAATGTTCTGGAATCGCACTGAAAGTTTTACATTTTCCCATGGTAATCTCCATTCCATCCCATGAGAATCGGGCTAGAACCCCAACAACATAACTACCTTGTCTGTATAACGTGTTTTTATTAATGAAGTGCACAGAGCATTGATCTAATAAATAAATATAATATTATTTCTATGGCACAGAGGTATTAAATCGAAGGATCCATACTTTTAAAGATATTTTTGCTGATATTAGACAATTCAAATTTGTTCGAAATAACTGCAGGTAATCCGAGATTGTTCAACGGTTCGGAATGACCTATAAAAACGCAAAGGAACTCCCTATTTTGA